CAGCCGTCAAAGGGGCAATTAAATTCATATATTACGTGATTACGCTTTAACTCAGAGTTATCTCTAGGACTGCAGTTGTTTTTCAGTATTAGGTGAGACGTATTTTTATTGTTGTAATAAATTTGGAGTTTAACTTTACTATTTGGGTTGGTTGGTGTGACATTTTTATTGATGATATGTTTAAGAATAGCTTCATCTACCTTGTATGCTGTTGACATGTGATTTCTGTAATACAAGATGATGTCGTTATCTTGATTGTTGGTACTAGGAAGGTTATTGCTGTGTAGTAATTTGTTTTTAACAATCTTTTCAATAGAGTAAGTCTTATATCCATTGTTTACAAGCAGGTTAGTGACTCTCTTTAATTCAGCGTTGCGATTTTCAATATCGGAAGAGTGTGTGAATGCCCGGTTCACAAATGATTTTATTGTGCTGTCTTTAAATTGTTCAGTGCATTCACTTTGTCCATTCAAACAAATTCCTGTATTCGTTTCTTTGACATAGACCGCGGTTTTGAATCGTTTTTCGCCACGGGTGACCAACACATCGAGGAAAGGTAAACGTTGTTTCTTTTCACTTTCAATGGTAAATCTAAGTTTTGATTTGTTTAAGGTACCAAGAAGTTGGGTGATTTGTTCAGGATCGTTATAGGAGACAAAGATATCATGCACGTATCTGGCGTAGATATTTGTTTTAAACTTGCATTGTTTTTGAATGTTTCATTCTCCAGCTGTCCTAGGTAAAAACTGGCAAATAGGACGCCAAGGGGGGAACCCATAGCGATACCATCGATTTGCTTGTAAAGTTTGCCTGTGAGGCTGTGGAATGGTGCTTCAGTAGTGCAAATTTGAAGAAGGGACTTCAGTTGTGCTTTCGGTATGTTCAATGGAACCATATCTGAGTGGTAAACGGTGTTGATAATTATGTCAATTGTATCATGAATTGGTACATTTGTGAATAATGAATGTCTACTTATTTAAACAACTCTGTACACCCCGCGGATTGGCTGCTATTTTTATCTGCTTCAATGCCATTCGTCTATCACCACCATCACAATGTATTCATACCCTTTGCATGTTAATTTCCCGGTCGCAGCTAAAACCCTGACATATATATATATATATATATATATATATACATATATATATATATTTAGGAACGAGGTTTTCATTAATACATATTTTGTTAAATTTATTTGCCATTCAAAAAACTACGCTGTGTTGAGTCCATAATAAAAAAGTTGATAAATGCAAAATGGGCAAATAAATTTAACAATATATATATATATATATATATATATATATATATATATATGTTGGTAATAGACCATAATAGAATATTGTAAATATTTAAATATATTTACATATATATATATTGTGTAATGGTGGTCCGCAGCATGCCCATAAATTACGCACTGGTCCGCGGAACCAAAAAGTTTGAAAAGCACTGCACTATATGTTTATTACCATGCAATGTGTTTTTCTAAAAAAAGGCATATTCTAAGTACGTGTAATGGTGGTCCGCAGCATGCCCATTAAATTCCGATTAATGCCCATTAAATGGCATATATATATTATTCTATATATGTGATTGTGAACATATTTTCAATTGTGCTTCTTCTTCTCGTGCCTTATTCTTTCAGGACATTGGCGACTATCGACCTCCACAAAAAACGATCTTTTACACTTTGTAGCAGTGGAAATGTGGTGATGTTCAACAAGCCCACAATGACTTCGCAAATGTAATTCGTTGTTGACCGCGATCTCTTCTTCCTGCAATCTTTCCAGTAGTTGTTAGATCTTCCATTCTTTCTATCCGCATGATGTGACTAAAATATATTAACTGAATTTGTAGTAATTTGTTTTTAGATTGTTGTTAGATTTTCCATTCCTTCTATCCGCATGATGTGACCAAAATACATTAACAGAATTTGTAGTAATATCTACTTTTTATAACTGGACTGTTTTAATACATCCTCATTGGATGTATGAGAGGTCCAACTAGTTTTCGTAATTCTTCGCAAAAAACCCATTTTAGAGGCATTCACTTATGCTCATTGGTGAATGAAAGTGGGCTGCACGCCATATTTAAAGATAAATGTAAACAAGGCACGTGCGGGGGCAAAGTGATTACGTTTATTTATAAGGTTAGCCGTTTTTAATTATTAATTATTTAATAAAAGTCGGCGTGGTAGAATAAATCTCCGTTTACACAGTTTGGTATGATCGTTCTGAACAATATATAATTTTTAACATTAAATATTATTGAGACTACTACTTAGAAAAATGTTTTTATTTAATTAACTTGCCTTTAACAACATATTAAAAGTCATTAACTTAAACAACATATCATACTAGTAACAGTATTTAGTACATGCACAGCTACAAACACCGAACTCAGTAATTATTTAATTAATTTTAATGTCAGTCCATAGATGATGGATCTATTCTATCATATATACTCTATCATCACAAACTTTGCTTCATTTCATAGAAAATGAAATCAGTAGTAGGACCCCCTAGCCTAGCCTAAACTAAGGGGGTCTGATTGTAGTATAATATAAAAGTTAAAATCAGCTAATGCAGAATCTATTTAAGATTAGTATTTATCTATTTGAGTATTATATTTATGCTTGTAAACATTCATATTTTTTATCTGGTGTAAATATATTAATAATAATATACAATCATATTTATAGTTGAGATGAGCAAATGAAAAGCTAATTATTTGTGTCCATAATTCTTTAAAATAAAGGCATGTAACTTTGTGTGTGTTTGTGTATGTGTGTTTGCATGTGTAAATTGTAGTTCTTAGTTTAATGTTTTCAAAATTTATTCACCAATAATATCAAATGCATCCATTTTCAGATTGTTTAATCATATATTATTACATGAAATAGCAAGTGATGTGCCAAATATTTGTTAATTAAAATCCACCTGGCATGCATTATTAGAATAAAAGATGCATCATTGGCTGGCTGCCTTTGTATTTTTGTATGTTATTCTTAACCCTATTCTAATTAACCACATACTTCTTCCATTTTAGTCACTATTTTCATATTTTCAAATTTATCTAAGATTTTTGCTAAAATAATATTTGATAGTTAATAATGATGATGAAAAATACTTTTTCTATCATCATTTGAAGTGCTCATGGAAAATAGTGTCATATAGTTACAAGTCAGAAAAATAATATTCTTAAGTTTCAGGTTTTCTATTAAAGTTAAGCAAACTGCATGATATTCACTTTTTCAATGCTGCTCTTCCAATATTTGAAATTCCATCGCCATAAAAATAACAGTTTAAATTAAATGACTAATATTCATGAAGATCATGACATATGACACTGTTATATGGCAGCACCTTGAATGATTGTTCTGCAGGTTGACAAATGATTTTTTTTTCATTAATTACCAAAGCAAAAATTGTACACAAATTCACAAAAAATGCATATATTTAACAAAACGTTTTTGAGAAATTTCACAATAATGTTTTAAAGAAAATTAAGAGATCTTTAGAATTTTGCTGTGTTGATCATTGTTAAATTTCTAATTTATTATTGTAGAGTATTGTAAGAAAATTGTGCAGTTGATGAGTGAAAATGATTATCAAAATGATGTACAATTTAATTTTTAATAATTTTTTCTTTTTTGACATGTTCATTTTTTTAGAAGAGCATTCAATTCTTTTACTTTGTTTACATTTAAAAATTTTTTTCCCAACAAATGACATACATGTTGGTCAGAATGTCAGTTCATTGAACACTGACATATTGCAGATATTTTTTTATAGATTTTTATCAAGTAGTCGAAAATTTATACTAATATTGTTGGATTTTAATATCATATAATTTTTTTGTTTAGATTCTGACTTAAATGAAAATAAAAAATGAATAGTGATGATTTAAAAGCTTCAAAGGTGGTTATTGATGCATTTGATAATTTTTCTGATACATTACCACCACCAATCAACACTTCCAAGTTATCAAATGTTCTCCCGGTCAAACCTCAGTTCAACAACATAAAAAGCAACAATGATTCTGGGGATTCCAAGTGTAAGTATAATGACTACTAAAATATTAATAAAAAAAAATTATAATAAACCTAACAGTTACTATAATAATAAAGCTAATAAAGCTAATGACAAAAACTCTGCTTGAATATTAACAAGCTAAAATTTAAGTTTGCTTTTCACAGGTAGTGCTTGGTCTTGTTACATGGATCCCAGAGGTGTGTGCAATTTTGAAAATCACATAATGTTTTCTTGATATTTTTAACTAAATAATTCGTTTGTAATAAAACATGCTCATTAGGGTTATGACTTTTAGGCTTTTTGCTTAAAATTCTTTTCCCAGGGGTTTCATCAAAGGCATTTTATGTGTAGATTGAAAAATTATGAAATGAGAAAAATTATGAAAAAATCTAGCGCCCATTAAAATTTGAAAATTTTGTATATTGGTCCATAATAAAGCATATGTAAAATTAAGTTATTTACTCATAACCGCTGAAATAATTACAGTCGTGGCTAGAATTATACGATATTTTATTTATTTACAGTTTTCATTACAAAATATAAAGTAAAAACAATTTACTTACATTAAAGACTACAGTTAATATTTACGATGTCCCTTATTCCTTAGTACATACCTCACTTAGTACATACCCCCTTTTCCTTTGCATTTTAAATATTAACTGGTTTAACTAAGTAATATCTTTCAATTTGATTAATATAAAGCTACAATATAAAAAAGTTGAAATTTATGAATTGGTAATTTCACGAATAATTAAACGAACCAATAGGATAAAAGTTGATGGAATAAGCAACTAAGCAGTTTTTTTTTAAACTATAGTTTTCTGCTTTTAGGTATTATTGCCTCTACTTTGACAAAATCTTTAGTTATATTTGTCCGCTGTTTATTTTAGATAACATGTCAAAGTTATCTAAAAGAACTGTTGATGAAATTTCGAACATTTGTAGACAGAATTTAAAGTTACACGACGTTCACAGACTGCCGCGCTGTCGAGTCCAGTCCGGTGGTGGTCGGTCTATGACAGTTTTTAAAGCCCGGTAATGATTCTCTATGGAACTGGCACGAGAAGTTTAAATGACGCTTGAACAGGAGTGAGGAAACGGAGGGCTGCTGTGCTCTTCTCCTCACCTCAACATTGGTGACGTGATCGCGGTAGGTCCTGCGCAGTGATCTGTAGCGTCTAGCCTCTTCAAATGAGCGCTAGTAGTTGACCAGGCCTCGCATCCATAGGCCAGCACGGGGTAAGGGTTATACAATCGAACTTTTGTTGTCCCCGAAATGCCCGAGTGCCATATACTACAATCCAGGGACCTCATACACGCTCGGACAATGATGATTCGACGCGAAATTTCAGCGTCACTACTGCCTGACGAGTGTATTTAGGAGCCGAGATATGAAATGGATCCACAATCTGTACGTCATTACCCAGCACAGAGACAGACGAGGGTGGCGGATCGCCCAGAAAGATTGCCTGAATTTTCGTTTTTTCCCAGTTAATTTTTAAACCAAAAGGCTTTGCCTCCTCAGACATAGCCGCCAACGACAGTATGAGAACATCTCGCATCTCAGCTAGCAAAGCGACGTCATTTGCATAGTCCAGGTCCGTGAACACCACCCTGCCGATTGTGGTGCCGAGCATACCTTTGTGTACAGAACGCTCCATGATCCAATCCATCGGGGCCAAGAACTCATCCGGCGCAAGTATACACTCCTGTCTGACGCCGCAATCAATCTCGAATCACCGAGAGCATCGCCCCTCCGATCTAACACAACTCAAGGTGTGGGTGTATAAAGCCTTAAGCAGTTTTACCAGGGGTGCCCAGACCACGGAACAGCCACATAGCATCCCTGTTGACTGAATCAAAAGCCGCACTCAAGTCAACGTAGGCAATCCAAAGTGGTCTACCAAAAGCACGTCTGGTCTGTGGAAGGAGTGAGAGCGTGAATATCCTGTTGATGGTAGACCTACCAGGCGTGAAGCCACTTTGTTCTCCACGATGCCGAGACAGCAAGAGAGGACGGGGGCAAATACCTTGCATGGAACTGACAGCAAAGTGATGCCTCTATAGTTTTTATATTCACGGCGTGATCCTTTATCCTTGTGAAACGGAATTATGATATCTTTCCTTCAATCATCCGGGACGGCACCGGACTGCCACACCCGGGTGGTGACGGAGTGCTGCCAACTAGCACACATAGGTCCACCTGATTTAAGCATTTCCGGAGGAATGTTAAAAAAGTCCGGTGCCTTGTCGCTCTTTAGCGTTTCTATAGCCGCGACAACCTCAGCTACGAAAGGGGGTTCAGTGTCAATCTCAGGGTCTGGGGCAGTGGATTCAGCAAAATCCAATAATTCCTGCGAGGGCGCCAACATTGGGTGGTTGGGCAACTGGTTGAAGTATTCTCGCCATCTCTCTAGCTTTTCGTTTCCGTCACAATCAACCGACCAGTACCACTGAGAATAGGGCTAGAGACAGCCGGGGTTGTCAATCTAAGTTTTTGGAAATGACCAAAAGCATCCTTGTTCAGTCTATTCAGCAAGGCTAATTCAACATCCGCCGCCAGTTTGTCCGCCCAAGCCTGACAATCCCTACGCAGTTTACTCCTTAGCCGTAATGCCGTCATTTGAGTGCCTCGTCAGTCTATGGATATCCTTACGGCGAAACCAGGATCTGCAGACCCTAAGTTCCGCGGAGGCACAGAATTCCAGGAAATGATCAGAGTTGTCGTTTGGTGATACGTTACCAAAGGGGTCAACTACCGAAGGCATACGGCGGTCAACACCCGTTACCGCGTTAAAGTTGCCCAGGCAAATGATGAGGTCGGTGGGCCTGGTGAAACGAAACGAGTCTCTTAGTGCGCCATAAAAGAGATCTTTGATCTCAGCCGTCTCTTCATTAGTTGGTGCGTAAAAGACAATCACTGACATAGTACCATATCGATGTCTGAAACGAGCAACCATCAGCCTTTCACTGATCGGGTTCCATTCAATCAATGCGGGTTAGCTCCAGCACGGGACCGTAAAGAGGTATCATAAATAGGGTTGTTCGCCGTAGTCCGCTTATCACAGTCGGCCGACAATGACCGAGACTGTGCGCTCTTTGTTAACCCGCGCAACGAGCGATGCGGTATGAGGTTTTTTTTTAGATGACTTCATGTGGACAATACTTTTGCTATAGTTGTTCCCAATTGTTCGCCAGACAAACGTGGGTAGGTAGCAAGTCGAGTAGAGGTTGAAGCAATCATATCGTCTTGAAGACGCAATACCACGCATGATTTTCTGTTAGGGTTTACTCCCTTAGCCTTCCCCTACAAAAGGTATAGCCACAAGGCAGTGGAGGTTTGAAATCAGAGTTTACCTTCTAGATGGGTGAATAACGGGCCCCGTCAACCCGAAGCGACTAGTTTTGAGGCGCTAGTTAGCCGCCTTTGCCCCTTCTCCTGTTAGTTTAAACAGTTTCTCCACGAGAAGGCCAGGATTTGGTCTTTGACTGTCAGAGGCTATTTGAGACGCACTCCATGGGGGTGTTTTGAGAGCTTAACCTCATCACTACCTCCGGCTATGACAGTCTTTGAAACCTTAGTTGATGCGTTTGTAAAATATCGGTAAAGGAAAAGTGACAAATTTGTGAATGAGTTACTAACCGTTTTTGATATAACCAAATTTGATGAAAATTAGTTATGTATGGAAGATAAAGAACTGTATAAAAAGCAGATTATATCACAGAGTGCAGTTGGGTATACAACAGCAAAGTTTGCACCTGTTTCAAGTTTCAATACATCCTTCAAAACGTCGCAAGGTTAATAAGTTCCAATGTGCAATTGTACGGTGTGCTTCTGATGTATCTGATAAATTTGGAACTGATAAATTTGCAAATGATTGGGAGATTAAAATGTCAGTTGATCGTGATTTCAATGATCAAAAAACAAAATCTGCTGCAAAACTTGTAACAAATTTTTTTTTGTCAAGTCAGGCATCAAGAGTTTGCAGCAGTTTAGCTAGGGAAGAAACAGCTGAGCTATTCATTCCATCACAAAGTGGAATCTGGAGAAGAATAGCTAAAGATGGAAAAGGAAAAATTTCAGAAATTCAAAACGTTCTTCAGCTAGAAAATGATTTTTGCTTACATTTTTATGGAAAAAGACTTTCAAATAGAAAATATCTAGTTGTTTGTTTGAAAAGTCTTTTAAGATTTATCAATTTAGGTATTATCATTTGTAAATCAGGATCTGCTGAAGATACATTCATTGGCTTAAAAATCTATTAGATGAATTTAATGCTTGGCAGAATATTAATATCAGACACAACAACAGTAAATAATGGACATAAAAACTGAATTTTTGTTCTACTCCAAAATGAAATTCAAAGCAAAAGTTTGATCAAACCTCAATTCATCGGCTGCCAGAATCATATACTGGACACGATACTTCGTAATTTGCTTAATTTCTTCACTCCCACTGCGTCGCAGAAACCAGCCATGATTTTATTGAGATTATTTCAACTCAATGTGAGACTTTGCAACCAAAATATATCGGTGATTTTGCAGTACCAGTTTTCAAAAATCTCGGAATGCGTGACGATTTTAAATTTCTGTTTTAAATTTGTAAAGCCTACGAAGTATGCATGAATTCAAATAAATTCCCAATAATCAAAAGGCGTAAACTACCATCCCTCAGTCATGCAAGATGGAACATTTGCATTATTGGCGTATTTTCTTTTTCCAGATTATCGTGAAAAGCTGAAACATGCCTGTGATTTTATGCCAACAACATGGGCATCAGCATGGTTCTGCGATCAGCATTTTGGTGTTAATGCTTATGATAAATTGCTTTCTGCTGTTACAAAATTGAGATGTATGAAAGCAATAAACTGCTTGAAGATGCACTGCGTAAATGATCCCTCTGTCGTGGATTTTCCTCGTTATAGCTGAAAGCTGTGAAAACAATGGAAGATATCCATGCTACTTGCAAAACTGATAAATAAATTTTTGATCTCTAATATAAATATGTGAATAACTGATTATTAATCTTCAATTGTGTGTGTATTTAACTGTCTGTGCATTTGTATAATTGAAGCATAACGAATAGCCATATATTACAGTTTTGTCGATCTATTTCACATGTGGGACGCCAGGATTTTGTAAACTGTATAAAACTTATTATCATAATAGTGTTTGCATATAAAAATTCATTTGGAACCTCAGGTATATTCATTTAAAAATCATAACCCTAATGTTTATGCCTGCTGATGCTGATACACATTTTCATTGAATAATTGCATAATTACCTGGCCAGTTAAATAATTTAATCTTTTTTAAATAATTTTTTAAAGCAAAAATTTTAATAATCTCTTCATTTGTATTATATTGTCATAACCGCTGGAATGATCAAATTGCGCTATATTATTTGTTATCCTAATTAGTGTTATTTTTGATGTATTTGTAATCTTTGGATTGTAAACCATAGAGTTTCTTGGATTAGTTTAGTGTTTCTATTACTTTTGCCATTTGAATCAACTAAGTTTGCGTTAAAAGCGTTCATTTACCGGAGATATTGAACCTACGGAATAACGAACACTTGACGATCATTGGAAGCTACAACACTGGTGTTGGAAATATAGAGATCTTTGAAGATATAACATCGGTTTTAGTAGTTACGAGGTCAAGGATTATAACATTGGTGTCAGAAGTAAGATTTTTGATAGATCGAAATTTTCTGCAATAAAGAATGCCAGTACTAACAAAGAAATTACTCACACAAAGAAACAATGGAACTTGGAGTTCCTTTGTTAAAAATACAATAAATACCTGATGAACTACATTATAACATTATCACAAACTCTTTTACGCTGAGGATGATAAAGTTTACAGAAAACTTTTTTATGTAAATGTATATATAAAAAAATGCAGTATAAAATAATTAAAAATTTTATTATTAACTTGAATAAATTGGATAATATTGATAAAATAATTGTACAAAAAATGGAAAATGTTAGTTACAAACTCAACAATGCGGTGATATTTCTTAAAAACTATATATATATATGATGAAAATCAACTACATTAGTAAACCAGAATCGATAAACGTATCATAGCCATCTAATATATTTGTTCAAATGTAATATTGTAGCCATCTAATATATTTGTTCAAATGTAATATTGTAGCCATCTAATATATTTGTTCAAATGTATTATTGGTGAGTGTGGGCACTCACCAATAATACATTTGATTACTTATAGGTCAGGGGAACATAGATCGATGATAGACTATATATTGGTAAGGGCCAAACATAGGAAGTATGTGAAGAATGTGAAGGCGATACCTGGTATGTTGCAGCATAGTATGGTTGTGATGGATGTGACATCAAAAGAAATGGGGAGGAGGAAGAAGGATAAGTTTGTGGCAAAGAGAAAGACATGGAAGTTGCAGGATGCAGAGGTGAGGAAGGCATTTGAAGTGAAGGTGGCTGAAAATTGGGAGAGTGGTAAGGATGGAGATGTTTGGGAGAGATACAGGGACTGTGTGTTGGCTACGGCAGATAAAGTATGTGGATGGACGAAAGGAAAGTGTAGGCATGGTGAGACGTGGTGGTGGGATGAAGATATAAGAAGGGTTTTGGAAGTCAAGAAGGAGAGGTTTAGGGTATGGAGAAGGGACATGACGGAGGAAGCGGAGTCTGAGTATAGGAAGGCTAAGAAGGTTGCAAAACAGGCAGTGGCAACTGCAATGACGAAAGCATCAGATAGGTTAATGAAGGAAATGGAATTTGATGTGAGTTCGAGGAAAATGTTCAAAGTAGCAAAGCAGTCAATGAGGGATAGGAAAGATGTTATAGGGAATGGATGTGTTTGGGATGGATCTGGCAAGTTGTGCATAGATGAGGAGGAAAAAGCTCAGGTGTGGAAAACTCATATGGAAAGGTTGATGAATGAAGAGAATGAGTGGGATGGAGATGTGGAATCCGCGGTCACACACGGACCTATAGAGAAGGTGACGATGGAGGAAGTAGAGAAAGCAGTTAGAGAAATGAAACTAGATAAGGCGACAGGGATTTCGGAAGTGGCGGCAGAACATATTAAAGCGAGTGGGGTGATAGGAATTGAAGTTATGATGAGAATTGCTAACAGTATGTTTGATGATGAAGGTATACCTGAGGATTGGCGACACAGTGTGTTGGTGCCGTTGTATAAGGGCAAAGGAGATGTGAGAGATTGTGGGTCATATAGGAGTGTGAAATTACTAGAGCACGGAATGAAGGTAGTGGAGAGGGTGCTTGAGAGGAGGTTGAGAAGTATGGTGGCAGTTAATGAAATGCAGTGTGGGTTTATGCCTGGTAGGGGAACGGTGGATGCGTTGTTCATGGTGAGAATGTTGCAGGAGAATTATAGAAAAAAGAAACGAAGATTGTACATGTGTTTTGTGGATCTAGAAAAGGCTTTTGATCGAGTACCAAGGAAGGTCATTGAATGGGCGTTGAGGAAGAAAGGAGTGAATGAGAGACTTGTTAAAGCTGTGATGCAGCTGTATGAAGGGGCAAAGACAAAGGTGAGGGTTGGAAGGGGGATGTCGGACGCTTTTAGTGTTAAGGTAGGAGTGCATCAAGGATCAGTGTTATCACCGTTTCTGTTTGCAATTGTGATGGATGTTGTGTGTGGAAACATAATGGAGGGGTTGTTATTTGAGATTTTGTGTGCAGATGATTTAGTCTTGATGGCTGATAGCATGGAAGAATTGCAGTTAAAATTTGACAGATGGAAAAGTGTTATTGAAAAGAAAGGGTTAAAAGTTAATATTGGTAAGACGAAGGTAATGGTGAGTGGGGAAGGTGGGGAGCGAGTGATAAGTAAAATAGACCCCTGTGGGGTATGTGATAGGAGAGTAAAGGCTAACTCGGTATTGTGTATAGGATGTCAGAAATGGGTGCATAAGAGATGTAGTGGTGTGAGGGGGGCACTGAAAAAGGTGGAAGGCACGTTCAAATGTAAGAAATGTGTTCATGGTGTGATTAATAGGACGGACGCAAGGACGGGGTTGAGTGGTGGTATTGAAAGAGTGGAAAGCTTTGTTTACT